CATGAGTGTAGTTGGAAAGGACGCCACGTGGACCACAGGTTTGCCCGATCCTTGCTGGTGAGAACATGCTTCCCATTGAACCAAGGTTTCATACGGTGAAAGGTGATACGTGCAATATGTAACCGACGTTGAAGTGTTTGCTGCTCAAAGTGGGTGAAGGACAGCTTGGCTCCAAGATAGGTGCGATGTGGAACAATCTTGACCAGTGTGTGGCCTTGAACACGAGGAATGATCAGCCACTTGGATCCATTTTGGACTATTGTGTGTTTCTTGGGTTTTGATTTTTCCAACTTGTTGTATGCTCCATTTGCACAACAAGTCATCAGCATATGTAATGAGGTGAGAGCAAATCCACTCAAAGGCAGCACTGGCAGACTCCAGGTGGAGCAGGGTACCAATTTGACAGATCATAAATGAGAAAAGCCGTCCACTCGAGCGGCGATGCTCGACAGCCCTGTCGGACTCCCCTGAAGGGTTGGAATCAGACCTCGATGGCGCAGATGATATTTTGCCTGGCGCAGCCATTGTAGTAGGACAGTTGCAATGAAGAGGGGCATGAACACAGTGTCAATCCTTCAACAAGACCTTGTCTAGGCAACCTGTCGCAGGCCTGTTTCAAATCCTTGGAGAGAAGGAGGCCGCCGCCACATTGTTGACGGAGGAGCGCCAAGGGCCTGGACGCAGCAACTGACATTGCTCCCGAACTCCATCACAGAAGAGATTTGCCATGTACAATGCTTCTTGAACCCTCTGCGTGGAACGTATGCAAAAATTGGATACTGCTGCATCTGTAGGCTCGTGCCTGCTGCATGTAAGTACCCAGGATGGCCTTCCCAAGGCCACATGTAAGTGCGGTAGGTCTCAAATCATTGGGGTTCTCAACTTTCTCTTTCCAACTTGAGGGAACTTTCGGTGCACGTTGCCAGTGTGTTTGTAGGTAGGCTTCCAGCAACTCGCCACAGGTGTGGCCAGCTGCTTGATGACAATACCAGGAACAGTACCTGGCGCAACTGCTTGCTCGGTTTGGTCTTTTGAAGTTGTCGTACAATGTCTTCTTCTCTTGGAATCCAGGGTGCACACTGCGTGGGACAAGCATTGTCCTCTGTACCAAAAATCTCCTGGAAGTGGTGACACAACATCTCCAGTTCTTGCTCTGGACTCAACACTTGACCAAGTTGCCCCCGTAAACGAATGGACCGCCGGAGTTGTTTGGGCGTCAATTCTCGAACTGCTTCGTACATGCGTTGCTCGGCAGCCCGGGCAGTAGCCTGAGTAATCCTCCGAAACCGGTCTCTGCGTTTGTTCTGACAATGTTGTTGAAGAAGTTTGTGAAAGCGATGGAACTTGGAACAATGCGCCCATCGATTGAATGGTCCTCGAAGATCTCCATTGCATCGACGTTCCCAGAAAAGATGTTACCATTTCCTTGCCACCAGAGACTGGCACTCAGGTTGTAGCCACATTGGCATAGCAGGTATAGTTCTATCAGTGGCTTTGCGACACAAATGAATAAGCTTATTGACCTGCATGGAGTGAATCATCGTCGTGGCCTCTTGGACAAAGGTGGTCCAGTTGGGATGAGATGGCTTTCTGCAGCCTTCACCAAGGCTTTAGCATGTTTGGAGTTGGAACACTGTGACCGTGACTGCTGCCCATGTACCCACACCTTCCAGTCCACAGCAATGCTTCCCACCAGAGGACGATGATCCGGCAATTCACGAGCCTGGAGCATGGAAGTTGACATGACATTTGGCCTTTAATGGTGGAAGAACCTCTGGGACCCACGCAGCTGTAAGCTGAGTCGTGGGTCCTGAGATTGGCCAAATCATAGCCTTTGAGCAAGGCGCGGAGGTTCTGAGGCCTTAGCGTCTTGACAACCTTGCAGGGCAGTGTTGAAGTCACCTCTCAAGCAAAGAACATGACGGTGTGGGATGCAGTGGAAAAGCTGTTGCAACTGATTCCATAGGTCCAGTCTATGTTTCATGGGTTCACTGCGGATTTTGGTTGAACCCGTTGGAAATTGATACATGTTGATCAAGTCCACCTGTGTCTTCAAGAGATGGCATCGAACATGAAGAAGTCTGCCCAGTGTCACATCCTGGAAGCTGAGGTGGGAGCTGCAAAACGATGTCCTTATGGGCGTTATATAACAAGCCCCCTCCAGCCCTGTTCAACTCCGGTGATGGTATGATGTTGTATCCATACGAACACCGAGGCTCACTCAAGGTCCAGTGGGTGCTCTGAAGGAGCAAAGCGTCAATGCCCTGAAGAGCGGCCCAGGTCTCAGCAAAACTAGATGACATACAGTTCCAGCTCATCACCCACATTCTGAGCGTGGTCTCCGAGCAGGTGTGAGGTTTGGCTGTGCTCCCCCTCCCCCTCCCACAAGGATGGTGAAGCTTTGCGTTCTTTAGCTTGTTGGTTTGCTGCCCTTTTTGCTTAGCTTCGTTCGCGCTTTCCGTTTCAGTTGGGCGCTCTGTCACCACTTGTCTGTCGTTTCTCTGTCTTCTGCCGCATGATGTTTGTGTTCGGGTCTTCGTACCGCTGTGATTCTCCTTTTTCGGTCGTCTTTTGAGATAGTCCCTGCAGGAGCTACGCGCAGGTATGCCCATTTTGGGCGAACGCCTGCTACCACGGTTGGAGATCCAGTATAGACGTGGCAATGGTACATGGTGAAGCCATGTAGTGCCAAGCGTCTCTGAGGAAGCTACGATTTTTGGCATGGGTGATCCTGGGGGATCCTTTCAGCCCTTTGCCCAGAAATTGAGGGATAGCGCATCCCAACGTGGAAGGAGTCCTTTCCCTTCCAGGAAGACGCTGGGCCGTCTTCCAAACCCTTCCCTTTCTCACTTTCCAAAAACTGCCAATCCACGCCGAGGCACGTGAAAGTGAGCCCGGAATTAGGACCGGGTACAGTCGAGGAGCTCAACCACCCAGCAGAGGCAAAGACCAGTAGCGGTAAGATCAAAGGTAGGAGCCGGCAGCGCTCAGGGTGCTGGGACACCCGCCAGCAGTGCCTCCAGGTCAGCCGGGAGATATCATCGTGGCCGGAACAGCCCTTCGAACTGTAAAAGGCAGAGAGAGAGATAGATAGATAGATAGATAGACAGACAGACAGATAGATAGATAGATAGATAGTTTTGGGTTTGAGTTTGAGGCGCTCGTCGGAGGTCCGTCGAACGCGGGGCACAGAGAACAGGCTCCGGTTGACTTGAAGTCAATCAATGTACCGTGGCGCGCTGCCGTTGGGTACTGGTCATTTCGACCTTCAACAATCAAACAGTAAAAAGCACATTCCACTCCAAAGGCCACTTTGGCGAGAGCAGAAGAAAAAGTTCATGGTGACTGAACTGCTGAGCACAAAAGCTGCCAGTTCCAAGGTGCTCAATCTCCATTCCGAGAGGGCTCACATGGAAAAAACAAACACCAGATGTGGTGTGAAGAGCCGCCAGTTCACAATCCAATCTCAGCCATTGAAAGAGGACTGGGAGAACATGGCAAGTCAAGCAGTCCGGTTCAGACATCATGAACCCCATGCAGAAGAGTACGTTCCTCATTTTCATCTCTCACCTCTTCTTCAACAATTGGCCGCGGCTCCGATGGCAACGATGACCAGGTGGTGTGGCTGTACTGATCCAGCGAGGGGCCAGTTTCACCTGTGGATTGCACCGGATTCTCCAGCTCGCGCTGTGTGCGACTTCGTACCTGCAGAACCGCACCTGCGCGGACTTCAATCTGCTGCCAACAAACCACTCGGGTGGCTTGGTAGTAGATCTCAAAGGGCAACCTGACTTGAGTCTGTGTATGAACCCCGTCGATGACTTCAGACACATATTCATATTGCTGCGCTTGCATCACCACATGGACCTGGTGCACCTCAATGACAACTTGCACACCCAGAGGCAAAACTGAATTTTCCAGATGCTGCACCACCACGGTGGCCGGCATATTCTGGCGCAGTTCATGCATGACTGGAAACGCTCGGGTGAATGCATGGTCAAATTGGAAAGCATATTCTTCACACCAGTCCGAAATATGGTAGATTGCAGCCTGATCAGCCAGCGCCCAACTAGGGCAATATACTCCGCTTGTGACAGTTGCTCCTCTTCTCAGAGCCAGCAAATGTACCAATATCTGTGTGTGGCCAGGTGCACCTGCTCTATCATATTCGCAAAGATATTGTCGAACGATCATCTACATCCGCTTCCTCAAGGGCAGTCACTTTTTTGCCATGAAAAAGCAGTACATCAATGCATTGGAGCTGAGAAGAACTTCAATGAATCCAGGAGAGGTCAAGCTCATGTTCACAATGGACATACGAGATCTGGATGGTCTGGTCGTTCGTGCAGTTCCAGGCAATGGAGTTGCGGCTGAGCTCGAAACAGCAGGCAGGCCAAAAAACGTCTTGCCTCGATGTAGCTTCATGCCATCCATAGCCAGGAACCTCTGAGCCCTTTGAAGCTTCTCTTCTTTGCGTCACTGATCCCGTGGGCTCCATTTTGCCCTTCGCCCAGTTGTTCAGGGGGTGCTTCACTTCCCCTAAGGAGGGTATCCCTACCCCTTTCAGGCACACGCTGGGCCGTTTGCCAACCCTGCTCTTTCCCACTCCTATATCAAAAAAACCATACCAACAAGGCCAAGATGCAGAGTGGACACGGAATTGGGACCGGGCGGTGGACAAGCAGCTTGTAGCAAAGTCAAGGTCAGCAGGAGAATGCACGACATCCATGGGGGGCCCGGACCCCCAAAGATCCAGCTGCCGGGTGGCTTCATGGCAATCACATCACCGAAAAACGTGGCCAGGAATAGCCGCTTGCACCGAAAGGCTGATAGATAGATAGATAGATAGATAGACAGATAGATAGACAGACAGATAGATAGATAGATAGAGAGATAGAGAGATAGAGAGATAGCGAGATAAATAGAGAGATAGATAGATACTATCCATGGCAAGGGTGTTGCTAATGCATGCCTTTTCATGATGCATTCAGAGCGGAGTCCTCTGCCTGAGCCGCGGCACTGGTAGCATTTGCAGCTTTTTGCTGGGCCAGTTGATACGCA